CGGAAAAAAGAAATCAAACTTTAATGGACATGGCACGAAGTATGTTGAGTAGCTCTAAGCTACCTAATTTCTTATGGATTGAAGCTCTTAAACGATAGTGTATATATTAAATTGAGTTCCAACCAAGGCTGTCCAAAGGACACCTTTTTAGTTATTTGAAGGTTGGAAATCGAGTTTGCGACATATACGCGTATGGGGATGTCCGTATGAAGTTAGAGTATATAACTCAAAAGAAAAGAAACTGGATCCAAGGACCACTAGTGGGTGTTTCATTGGATATGCCAAAAGGTCTAAAGGATACCGATTTTATTGTCCATCCCACAACACTAGAATTGTGGAATCAAGAAATGCAAAATTTCTTGAGAATGACTTGATCAGTGGGAGTGATCAATTTCAGAATATAGTATCTATAAACAATCAACCTTCTACTTTAAGTGAAAGATTAGTTATTGTGCACAACCCTCCTCAAGTACAAATGGGTGTTATGCAACCAGTCATTGAGGTTCCACAAGCTGATGAGAATATTCTAGTAGATCAAGTTGTTCAAGAAATTCATGAAACTATTGAACAACCAGTCGAGCAACATAATCCTCAAGAAAATATTGATACAACATTAAGAGGATCTAGTAAAGAAAGAAAAATCAGCAATTTCTAGTGACTACGTTGTGTATGTACAAGAATTTGACATTGGAGCCGAAAATGATCTGAGTTTTTTCACAAGCTATGAGTTTTAAAGAATCAGAACTATGGTACAATGCCATGAAAGAAGAGATAACTCCATAAAGAGTAACAAGGTATGGGATCTTGTCGAGTTGCCTGATGGTGTAAAAACCATTGGATGTAAATGTGTCTTTAAGACTAAAAGAGACTCATTAGGCAAGACTTATTGCTAAAGGATTCACTCAAAAAGAAGGAATCGATTATACAGAGACTTTTTCTCCTGTATCTAAGAAAGATTGCTTGCGGATCATGTTAGCATTAGTAGCCCATTTTGACTTAGAATTACAACAAATGGATGTGAAAACTGCATTTCTCAATAGTGATCTAAACGAAGAGGTTTATATGAAACAACCTGAAGAATTATCTTCTAGTAATGGTGAGCACTTGGTATGCAAGCTAAAGAAATCCATATATGGATTGAAATACGCCTCCCATAAATGGTATTTAAAATTTCATGATGTTATCTCTTCAATTGGCTTTGTTGAGAATATTATGGATCAATTTATATACCAAAAGGTCAGTGGGAGTAAAATTTATTTTTTAATTATATATGTGGATGATATCCTTCTTGCAGGCAATGATAAGGGAATGTTATATGAGGTGAAACAATTTGTCTCTCAAAATTTTGATTTGAAAGATATGGGTGATGCGTCTTATGTCATTGGCACTAAGATTTATCGAGATAGACATCAATGTATTTTAGATTTATCTCAAGAAACCTATATCAATAAAGTTTTAGAGAGGTTTCGGATGAAGGATTGTTCACCAAGTATAGCTCTCATAGTAATGGGTGACAAGTTCAATTTGAACCAGTGCCCAAAGAACGACCTTGAGAGGGAACAAATGAAAAACATTCCATATGCTTATGTTGTTGGAAGATTAATATATGCTCAAGTTTGCACTAGACCTGATATTGTATTTGTTGTTGGAATGTTGAGAAGATATCAGAGTAACCCAGGTCTTGACCACTGGAGAACTGCAAAGAAAATCTTAAGATATCTTAAAGGAACAAAAGGCTACATGCTTATGTACAAACGATCACATATTTTGGAGGTAATTGGCTACTCTGATTCAGACTTTGCTGGCTGTGTTGATACACACAAATCAATATCAAGATACATTTTTATGTTGGCCGGTGGAGCTATATCTAGGAGTAGTTCCAAACAGACTCTAACTGCTACTTCCACTATGAAGGCTGCGTTCGCTTCTTGTTTTGAGGCTACCTCACATGGTGTATGGTTGAAGAGTTTCATTTCGGGGCTTAGAATTATCGATTCGATCTCTAGGCCATTGAGGATATATTGTGACAATTCAGCTGCTGTCTTTATATGGCTAAGAATAATAAAAGTGGCAGCCAAAGTAAGCATATCGACATTAAGTATCTAGCCATAAGAGAAGGTGTTAAAGACTAAAAAGTGGTCATGGAGCACATTAGCATTGAATTGATGCTAGCTGATTCTTTAACTAAAGGCATGCCACCACAAAAATTTAAGGATCATGTAATTACAATGGGACTTGGTTTCACTATGTAAATTTCGTTATAACAAATAATGATGAAACTCTATTATCGTATGAAGTTTCTCATATTGTTATTGTGTACACATTCAGTTATATCACTAAAGTATGGACTTAGAATAAACATTGGATTTATTCATTAAGAAATATGAGCTAAAGTTTAGAGGCATAATGCATCATGATACATTGAAGATACTACTCACTCTTAGAGGAACTATTGCCATGATTCATGTATTATGATTCTCTTTAAAGCATTAGAACTCTGACTTGGGCATTTTGTATACAGACCAAGTGCGAGAATGTGGATAACGTTTTATTTGACCGTTTTATAAAGGTGGTCCTTTAATAGACTAATTGAAACCCCTTTCTTTAATTCCACTTCTTCATTTTTTGTAACTGCTCATACGCAAGAAACTGATGGCCATTTATACATTTGATCTAGTAACTGTACTTGATGGAAGAACAATATAAATATGGCTAAATCTGGTTAAGTTCCCTAAGCACAAAAAACCTTCTTAATTACTACATCATATAGTGAGGATTTTTGAAGTGCTTAGAAGACTCACCAGAGGAAAACTTCAGTCGCCAACGACACCGTAACAATGGCTGGAGGTATGTCGTATATTTATTTCCGTTGCGCACTGCTCTAACACATACTCCCTCTGTTCCAGTTTATGTGAACCTATTTCCTTTTTGGTTCGATCAAAAAAGAATGACCCATTTCTAAATTTAAAAATAATTTGGCTTAAACTTGTAATTCTACTCTTAATGAGAAGCTTTTATAGTCACACAAATATTCTGGACCCCTTTTTACTTGTTTAGGACCATAATTTTCAAAAGTCTTTATTTTTTCTTAAACTTCGTGCCTAGTCAAACAGGTTCACATGAATTAGAATGGAAGGAGTAATAAATTTGTGTGTGTTACATAATTAGGCTTGACCTTATGTTCCTGCATTTTCAAGAACAAACTTATTGCTTCCTTGCCACGCCCATGCATTGCCAAGCTAGCTATTATAACACTTAGGAGTGTACAAAAAAAATTGATAAACCGTACCAAACCGTTAATTCAAGACAAATCGGAAAAAACCTGATTGTGGTTTGGTATTGGAGAAAAGAACCGACCATAATTGGTTTGGTTTTAACTAAAAAAAATCAAACCAAAACCAAACCAACGCGATAGTTGTCACGACCCGGATTTCCCACCCTCGGGGGTCGTGATGGCGCCTACTAATGTGAGCTAGGCAAGCCAAACCTTTGATCTAATTACTTCATTAACCAATTATTTCTTTATAACAAATATAAGGCGATAATGTGATAACAGCAGAAATTCAAATTTAAGCGGAAGACAACAATAAAATATACGACAAATATATCTATTAACACTACTTAAGCCTTAACCACCCAAAACATGGTGTCGCAGTGTCACAGACTGTCTAAGATTGCAACATACAAAGTTTGAAGAAATAACAGTACACTGTTTTTGAATAGAAGGAAGATGAAATAGGAAATATGGATAGAGGGAGACGCCAGGGCCTGCGGACGCCTGTAGGTCTACCTTAGATCTCCGAGTGGACTAAAGGTAGCTTCCACACTAAGGTCCAAAAGCTGCCCCGAGATCTGCACATAGTGCAGAGTTTAGTATCAGCACAACCGATCCCATGTGCTGGTAAGTTTCTAGCCTAACCTCGGCGAAGTAGTGACGAGGCTAGGACCAGACCACCAAATAAACCTGTGCAGTTATATAAGGCGTAATACATACGGAGACACCTAAAGTTGGCACGATCTTTCACTTAGACATTTAAACTAGACCTATTTCCAATTAGACACGTTTCTTAGGCAATTCTCATACCAATTAGACACGTTTTTTGCTGGCTTATTAATTAACCAAGTGCGTGTTCTGCAATCTACGTCTATGTGGCAAAAGTAACCATTATAAATCGTGCCACATCATTTTATTTGTCCACCTCACTGTCCACCTTGGCTATATAGTGTTATTTCCATTAAAATACAGATAACTAGCCCTAAACAAACATCTAAACATATTACCATTGTTCCTTTTACCTTCGATGAAAATGAAGAAAGGTCCTACCATTGTTAATCTTCTTCTTCTTTTGGTCAATGGTGTTAGAATCTAGTATTTCCACTGATTTCTCACCGTATTTACAACGCTTCAAGGTCCAATCTCTCCTTATTTTCTATTGCTACAGCTAGGGCTAAGTAATCTGTAAGTTATTTTTCAAGTTAGGTTTTTTTTGGGGTTTTCCTTTGTGCTGGTCCCTTGTCGTCTTATGTAAGGGAATATTATGGAGGATGACTATATTTTAACTCGCTTTCACCACGGGGGTACATTTATCGAGCAACCTGTCCCACTATACAAAGGGGAATTAGATGCTTTTGCTGTTGCTATCGATAAAGACCATTTTAGTGTTGTCGAGTTGTCTGCTTATGCTAAAGACCTTGGGTATGCAGTTGTCGAAAGGTTTTATTGTCAAAAGGAAAAATATGGTGATTTTATCAAAGTCTTTTCTGATTTTCAGTTATATGAATTTGTGAAAGATTTAAAACATGGTGATATTTTGGATGTTTATTTGCGTCATGGTGTGAGTCAGCCTGAAGTAGTCGAAGAAAATGTTGGTCTTTTATGTGGGGCAGAAGTAGGTGGGGTTGGTAATGACCAATTTAAAGCTAGGGCAACACTTGAGAGTAATACAAATACTGAAGAACCTATTGAGCCGCCTACTGAACCAATTCACAATGCTGCTGAACCACCTATTGAGCCTCCTATTGAACCAACTTTGAATGATGCTGAACCAACTCACAATTCTTCTGAACCAGCTGTAAATGCTGCTGATGGAGATGAACCACCAGACCATAATGTTAATGAAGATGGAGTGCAATCAGATGTTGAGAGTAGTGAATCAGAAGAAGATGTTCTTCCAGAAGAAGATGATTCATATGTTGATGATCAATTGAGATCTATAAGGGCTGAAATGAGGAGCAAGAGGCAGGGTAAGCAGAGGAAAAAACCAATTGCAACAGATGTGATACCACTAGGAGAAGTAGATATTGACAGAGGATTTTAGGATATTGGAAGAAACAAGACTTCAAGATATGTGGGTAAATTAAGTGGTGATGAGCAGTTTATTGATAGTTTAGAGGCTGATAGTGAAGATAGCACAGAAGAGTTAGATCCTGAAGCTATTCCTCGTGTTGATATACCAGCAAGAAGGAGGAGTACAAAAGTCAGGTATGATCCTGATTGTGAAGTTGCTATATTTGAACTTGGGATGATTTTTGAGAATGCTATAGAGTTTCGGAAAGCATTAGCAAATTATGCAATTGAGTACAAGGTGCAGATTAAATTGAGACCAAATGAACCACATAGGGTGAGGGCTAAGTGTAAATCAAAGAGATGCAAATGGGTGTGTTATGCTTGTATTAATAGAGATTCAGGTGATTTTAAAGTAAAGAACTACTACCCAGTACACAAATGTGATACTTCAAACAAGAATAAGTTGTGCACTTCAAAGTTTGTTGCAAAGAAATTCAAAGATGAAATAACTAAGCAGCCCCACATAAGGATATGAGAAATACAGGAGTTGTGTAGGGACAATCTAGGATTGTATGTTAGAAAGACAATTTGTTATAGGGCTAAACTGTGTGTTCTCAGAGAGTCCATGGGTGATTGGAATATGGAGTTTGCAAGGTTATGTGATTATGCTGATATGATAAAACAGATCAATCCTGGTAGCTCATGTTGGGTAAGGATGGACAGTGAAACTGAGCCAGGAAAAAATCTCTTTATTTACTTTTATGTGTGCTTTGATGCATTGAAGAAAGGTTGGTTAGAAAGATGTAGGAGAATCATAGGTTTTGATGGTTGTTTCTTAAAGGGTGCTTGTAAAGGTGAGCTTCTAGTTGCTGTTAGCAAGAATGGAAATCAACCAATGTTTCCTATAGCATGAGAAGTTGTGAACCAGGAGACAAAACATAGTTGGAGTTTTTTCATCAACTACTTGAAAGATGATTTGCAATTGGGAACTGGAGAAGGATTGACTGTGATGGCAAATATGCAAAAGGTGAGTATTCTGTTCTGTTGTCTCTTAAGTAGCCTATTAAGTAATTTTGGTATTTGATGTTCATTAATGTGATATGTTCAGTTGTTAAGTACTTAAGTATTCTATTATTTTGTTAAGTAATTAGTATTCTGCTGCTGTTAAGTATTCAATTTTGTGTAGTAATATGCTGCTGTAATTTGAATTAATTATTGTGTAGGGATTTGCTGCAGCTATGAATGAAGTTTTGCCTAATGCTGAATTTAGGATGTATGCCAGACATATATGGTCTAATTGGCATAAGAAATGGAAAGGAGAGGAAAGGAGAAAACCGTTTTGGAGGTGCTCTAAAGAGATGAAGGGGTGCAAGTAAAGAAAATGCTGAAAAAGGAGCACAAAAAGGTCAAAAAATGTTGGATTTGGCATCTACACAGCTGCAAGTGGAACTCAAATATTAAAAGTATATAATCATACATATTTCATCTATAATATGACTTACAAATAACTTACTGATTGTGGTTCATTATTTGGCAAACTGCAGCCCAGAACATCAAGCCAACGAGTTATGGTAAGTGGTTCAACTTATAAGAGTGCAGCTCCAACAAGAATTGACCTTGGTTTTAAGGCTAGAGGCTTGAGGTGGAAGGGTCAAGATGCTATCACAACTTCCCAGTTGCAGCAGATGAAGGCAAACTTCAGCAAGAAGTAGTATCTTAGGAACTTATTTTGTCTATATGTTATGTAGCAGCAACCTATTATATTTTGGGATCTAGTTTTTGAAGGAACTAAACTTTAAGTTGTATTCAGTCGTGTAATCTTACTGTTTTGTTTTGGATATATGTTATGCAGCTGCAACTTCAACCTTATTTTGTTTGTTTTGGCAGAATAGTTACTCTATGTTCTGAATAATTACTCTATAATGCAGCAACTTCAGTCTATATGTTCTGCATTTTGAAACTGCATCATATGGTTCTATGCCTTGTACAGAAGTTGTATATTACAGCACTTTCAAAATTCAGCAACTGTAAATTAAAACAACGGTTTCAACATCTGAATATAAACAGAAGTTTATAACAAAATTCAGTTGTATTTATACAACATCTGAATATTACAACAACAGTTTCAAAACAGAAATTTAAAGCAACAACAGAAATCCGTCTTCTTTTTGCTCATCAGTCAACCAAAATTCATCAGTCATACAGTTTCCATAAAACGACCAACAATACAACAACAATCGTCAAAAGGATCCGTCTTCTTTTTGCTCGAACTTTCTCCTCTTCAAAAGCTTTGACTCTCTTTAATAAACCCCAAATTATATTCTTCGCTTGAGTAGGCATCTCATCGTCATACCAACAGAAATAATCACATCCACCCTTTTTCTACAAATATCACAAAACACTTTTAATCAATTTTTATCAAAGAAAATAATTCATAAAACAGAATTTACAAATTATGAACAAACAATTTACCTTTCCGATTTTGCAAGCAAAAAACCTACGACCTGGGTTTAATTGGATCCAAGAAGTATTCAACTTTGGAGAAACACCACACTTACAGATTCGAGCAGCAATGCAAGGTGACATTGACGAGTTCGTCGATTCCGAGAAGTTCGACATTAATAAATACGGCAACAACAGAAATGAGAGGAAGAAGAGAAGAGAAGAAATTAATTGATACCAAGAAGAGAACAGAAACGAGAGAAAGAAGAGAAGAGAAGAAAAAATTTGCTGGAGAATTGCTGGAGAAATCTGAGAAGAAGAGAAGAGAACAAACAGGTTTTTTAAGAATTGGGAAAGGGATTAGGGTTTAAATAATAATTGACAATCCATGTTACCATTATGTGTATAATTGGGAAAGGAAAAGTCACTTTTTGGAATCCTTCACGCGCCTAAATAGGTTTGAAGTCACGCTATATGCCACCGGCAAAAAACGTGTCTAATTGGTATGAGAATTGCCTAAGAAACGTGTCTAATGGGAAAGAGGTCTAGTTTAAGTATCTAAGTGAAGGATCGTGCCAACTTTAGGTGTATCCATATGTATTACTCCGTTATATAATATACAACGGAAAGTAAAGCAGGAATAAACAAGTAAAGATGGGAGGGGGAAACATGCTTCAGGGAAAATAGGTAAAAAAGAATACCAAGAGAACTATAAAGGAATCAAAGTCCAACCACAAACAAGAATAAGGAAAACAAAGGCAGATTTCACTTTCTTTTCACATCTTGTTGCAGGCGTGCAACCCGATCCCATTTCCTGTATCTCGTGGCAGGCATGCCACCCACTCCTATTTCATGTATCTCGTGGCAGTCGTGCCACCCGCTCCCATTTCATTTATCTCGTGGCAGGCGTGCCACCCGTTCCCATTTTATTTATCTCGTGGTAGACGTACCACCCGTTCCCATTTCATTTATCTTGTGGTAGGCGTACCACCTGCTCCCATTTCATCATATCTTGTGGTAGGCGTACATCCGCTCCCATTTCATTATATCTTGTGGTAGGCGTACCACCCGCTCCCAGTTACAAGCCAACAATAATCACAAGGAATCCCGACAAGGGAACAAGAGCAATATAACAATTTTCCGGCAAAGGAATAATGATATTTCAACAACATCCTGGTAAGGGAACAATAATATCAAAACAAACATCCCGTCAAGGGAACAATACTATCAAAACAAACATCCCGGCAAAGGATCATTAATATCAAACAAACATCCCGACAAGGGAACAATGGTGATAATAACATATGAAGCGCAATAAACAACAACGGAGTCATAGCAATTACAATACAAGACTTACAGGCATGCTTGACACCAACGTATAGATACTTGTCACCATGCCTATACGTCATACTCCACAATTAACATATAGCAAATAAGACACAACTCCTAATCCCTCAAGCTAAGGTTAGAAAAAACACTTACCTCGATGCCACGAACACAATTCACGATTCAACTATAGCTTTACCCCTTGATTCCACCACCAATTTGCTCGTATCTAGTCACAAGTTACTTAATTGCGTCAATAAACACTAAATGAATCAACCCCAATGCATGAAAATGAGTTTTTCTAAAGTTTCGCCCAAAAAGTCAAAAATCGCCCCAGGCCCACATGGTCAAAATCTGAGGTTTGAACCAAAACCCGATTACCCATTCCTCCACGAACCCAAATATATAATTTGTTTTGAAATCGGACCTCAAATCGAGGTCCAAATCCCCAATTTTTGAAAAACCTAGGTTTTACCCAAAACAACCAATTCCCCCCATGAAAATCATTGATTTTGAGTTGAAATCATGTTAAAAGATGTTTATGATTGAAGGAAATAAGTTAAAATTAACTTACAATCGATTTGGAAGAAGAGTTGTTCTTGGAAAATCGCCCAAAGGAGTTTGTGTTTTGAAGAGATGTGAAAAATGAGTTTAAAATCGTCTAAGCATAAAAGTTGCAGGTCTTAGATGTGGGAATTGCGAACCCCGACCTCTGCTAGCTTGGGAATTGCGAAACAGGGCTCGTATTTGCGAACCCTTCAGGGAAAACTGGACTTTCGCATTTGTGATCAACATGTCGCATTTGCGACTTGGGAATTGCGACTACAGCATCGCATTTGCGATCACCGCAAAATGGGAAACTTCGCAATTGCGAAGATAATATCGCATTTGTGAGAGGGAGCTGGCCTGGGCTTTCTTCGCAATTGCGATAAGCCGCTGCCTTCTATGCACAGCTGAAAACCTGCAATTTTCCAAGTTAGAAATGCACCCCGTGGCCTATCCAAAACTCACCCGAGCCCTCGGAGCTCCAAGCCAAATATACACACAACCTCAAAAACATCTCACGGATTTATTCGTGTACTCATATCACCAAAATAACATCAGAAACCTCGAATTAAACCTCAATATCAATGAAATTTCTCAAAACTTCTTTAAACATCAAATTTTGCATTTAAGGTCCGAATCACGTCAAACGGATTCTGTTTCTTACCAAACTTCACAAAATTATTTTAAATCATATATAAGACCTGTACCGGGCACCGGAACCAAAATACGGGCCCAATACCAACACATTCTAATCAAAATTCATTTCCAAATCTTCTAAACAATTTCAGAAAATAATTTTTTGTAAAAATATTTCTCGGGCTTGGGACCTCGGAATTCGATTCCGGGCATATGCCCAAGACCCATATTTTCCTACGGACCCTCCAGGATCGTCAAATCACGGGTCCGGGTCCATTTACCCAAAACATTGACCGAAGTCAAATTAAATCATTTTATAGTCAAAATTTATCATTTTCACATATTTTCACATATAAGTTTTCCAGCTACGCGCCCGTACTGTGCACACAAATCGAGGTGATGCTAAAAGAGGTTTTTAATGTCCCAGAATGTGGAATTTTATTTTTAAACAAGTGATGACAAGGTCATCACATTCTCCACCTCTAAAACAACCGTTCGCCCTCGAACTAACAGAAGAAGGAAGTACCTGAGTTGGGGAAAAGATGGGGATAACGGCTCCGCATATTGGTCTCGGACTCCCAGGTCGATGCCTCAGGTGGTTGACCTCTCCACTGAATACGAACAGAAGGAAAACTCTTCGATCTCAACTGACAAACCTATCGGTTTAGAATAGCTACCGGCTCCTCCTCATAAGACATGTCCTTGTTCAACTGGACAGTGCTGAAATCTAACACGTGGATGGATCGCTGTGATATTTCCGAAGCATGGACACATGAAACACTGGATGCATGGCTGATAAGCTCGACGACAATGCAAGTCTATAAGCCACCTCTCCCACTCGATCAAGAATCTCAAACGGTCCAATAAACATATGGCTAAGCTTGCCCTTCTTCCCAAATCTCATCACGCCAAGCAATACCCGCTCACCGACCATAAATGCTAAATCACGAACTTTGCAGTCAGCATAACTCTTTTGCCTAGACTGAGTAGTACGAAGCCTATCTTGAATGATCCTGACCTTGTCCAAGGCATCTCGAACTAGATATGTACCCAACAACCGAGCCTCTCCTGGCTCAAACCATCCAACCGGAGATCGCCTACCGCCTACCATATAAAGCCTCATAAGGAGCCATCTGGATACTCGACTAGTAACTGTTGTTGTAGGCAAACTCTTCTAAAGACAAAAACTGATCCCACGAGTCTCCAAAGTCAATGACACAAGCTCAGAGCATATTCTTCAAAATCTGAATGGTCCGCTCGGACTGCCCGTCCGTCTGAGGATGAAATGTTGTGCTCAACTCAACCTGCGTGCCCAACTCTCGCTGAACTGCCCTCCAGAAATGCGAGGTAAACTGCATACCTCGGTCCGAAATAATAGACTCGGGCACACCATGAAGACGAACAATCTCCCGGATATAGATCTCAGCTAACCTCTCGGAAAAATAAGAGACTGCCACAGGAATTAAATGTGCTGACTTGGTCAGCCTATCAACAATAACCCACACTGTATCGAACTTCCTCTGAGTCCGTGGGAGACCAACAACAAAGTCTATAGTGATACGCTCCCATTTCCACTCAGGAATCTTAATCTTTTGAAATGAACCATCGGGCCTCTGATGTTCGTACTTAACCTGCTGACAATTCAAACACCGAGCCACATATGCAATGATATCCTTCTTCATTCTCCGCCACCAATAATGCCGCTTCAAATCTTGATACATCTTTTCGGCGCCCGGATGAATAGAGTACCGGGAACTATGGGCCTCCTCTAAAATCAACTCTCGGAGTCCATCCATATTAGGCACACAAACTTGACCCAGTAATCTCAAAACTCCATCGTCACCTAAGGTAAACTACTTGGAACCTCCATGTTGCACCGTGTCTTTGAGGACACACAAATGGGGATCATCATACTGCCGATCTCGGATACACTCCAATAATGAATAGCAAGCGACTATGCAAGCTAACACACGGCTGGGCTCAGAAACATCCAACCTCACGAACTGATTGGCCAAAGCCTGAACATTCAAAGCAAGCGGTCTCCCACCGACCGGAATATAAGCAAGACTGCCCATACTGGCTGACTTCCTACTCAAAGCATCGGCCACCACATTGGCCTTTCCCGGGTGATATAAGATAGTGATATCATAATCTTTCAACAACTCCAACCACCTCCTCTGCCTCAAATTCAACTCCTTTTGCTTGAACAAATACTGAAGATACTTGTGATCCGTGAATAACTCATATGCCACGCCATACAGATAATGCCTCAAAATCTTTAACACGCGAACAATGGCTGCCAACTACAAATCATGAACCAGATAGTTCTTCTCATGAATCTTCAACTGCCGTGAAGCATAGGCAATGACCTTGCCATCCTGCATCAACACTGCACCAAGTCCAATACGAGATGCATCACAATAGACTATATAAGGCCTTGAACTTGTGGGCAATACCAACACCGGTGCCGCAGTCAGAGCTGTCTTAAGCTTCTAAAAGCTCGCCTCAAACTCATCCGACCATCTGAACTGGGCACCCTTCTGTGTCAACCTGGTCATCGGGGCTGCGATAGATGAAAACCCCTCCACGAACCGATGGTAGTGGCTTGCCAATCCCAAGAAACTCCGAATCTCTGTAGCTGATGCTGGTCTAGGCTAGTTCTTGACTGCCTCAATCTTCTTCGGATCAACCTGAATACCCTCCTCTGATATAACATGACCCAGGAATGCAACTGAACTCAACCAGAACTCACACTTCGAGAACTTAGCATATAACTAACTATCCCTCAAGGTTTGAAGAACCACTCTAAGATGCTGCTCGTGCTCCTCCTGCATGCGAGAATAAATCAAAATATCACCAATGAAGACTATCACGAACGAATCCAAATAAGGCCTGAACACTCGGTTCATCAAATTCATAAAAGCTGCTGGGGCATTTGTCAACCCGAATGACATCACCAAGAACTCATGATGCCCGTACCGAGTGCGGAATGTTGTCTTAGGGACATCGGATGCCCTAATCCTCAACTGATAGTAGCCAGATCTCAAGTCAATCTTCGAAAATACCTTGGCACCCTGAAGCTGATCAAACAAATCATCAATCCTCGGCAATGGATACTTATTCTTGATTGTAACCTTGTTTAACTGCTGGTATTCAATACACATTCTCATTGATCCGTCCTTCTTATTAACAAAAAGCACCGACGCACCCCAAGTCAAAATACTCAGCCTAATTAAATCCTTCTCAAGCAAATCTTGCTACTGCTCCTTCAACTCTTTCAACTCAGGCGGGACCATACGATACGTCGGGGTAGAAATGGGCTGAGTGCCCGGAGCCAAATCAATGCAAAAGTCAATATCCTTGTCGGGTGGCATACTCGGCAGCTTTGAAGGAAATACCTCAGGAAACTCACGAACAATGGGCACAAAATCAATAGAAGGAACCTCAGCACTAGAATCATGAACATATGCCAAATAGGCCAAACACCCCTTCTCGACCATACGCCGAGCCTTCATATAAGAGATAACACTATGGGTAGAATGACTATGAGTACCTCTCCACTCTAAACAAGGTAAACCCGGTAAGGCTAAGGTCACAATCTTGGCATGACAGTCCAAGATAGCATGGTAAGGTGATAACCGGTCCATCCCTAATATGACATCAAAATTGACCATGTCCAAAAGAAGCAAATCTACACGAGTCTCAAGACCTCCAATCACTACTATACATGAATGGTGGACTCGATCTACCACAATAGAATCACCCACCGGCGTAGACACATAAACATGATCACTCAAAGAACACTAGGCATGACCAGATACGGTGCACAATAAGAGGACACATACGAGTACATAGACCCTTGATCAAATAATACTAAAACATTTCTATCACTAACCAGAACCGTAATTGTAATAACTGCATCTGAAGCCTTAGCCTCGGGCCTGGCTGGAAGATCATAACATCTGGGCTGGGCCCCACCACCCTGAACTACATCTCTGGGGCGGCCTGCTGCTGGCTGGCCTCCACCTCTAGCGGCCTGAGCTCTACCTTTAATACCTCTACCTCCACCTCTAGCACCTCTACCCCCACCTCTAGTTGGCTGGGCGGGCTGTGGATCACCTGGTGCTTGAACCATGGCACGGGAACCCTGATGCTGGGAGCTACTCGGTGCTTGAGGGCAATACCTAGCAATGTGCCTCGTGTCGCCACAAGTAAAACAAGCCATTGGCTACTGGGGTTGACGACCCTGGAAACTCTGAAGCGGTGGTGCACTGTAGGACTGCTGATCAGAATAATGCATCTGAGAACCACGACCACCTGAAGCACCGTCAGAAACCTAAAGTGCTGACTGAAAAGGCCTGGGAGGATGGCCCCTACCATATGAATCCCTACCTCCAAACGAGGTACCACTGAATCTACCTAAATGATGAGGCCTCTTGTCCGACCCATGACCACCTCTCTGTGATAGAACCATGTCAACTCTTTGGGCCACATTGGCCGCCTCCTAGAAAGATATCTCACTCCAGTCTCCCTAGCCATCTGAAGACGAATCGGCTGAATAAGTCCATCAATGAATCTCCTCACCCTCTCTCTCTCGGTGGGAAGTATGACAAGAGCATGACGAGCTAGGTCAATGAATGTGGTCTAATACTGGGTAACAGTCATAGAACCCTGCTGAAGACGCTCAAGCTGCCTCCGATAGGTCTCTCTTTGAGTGATGGGGAGAAACTTCTTTAGAAATAGCTGAGTAAACTGCTCCCAAGTCAAAGCTGGCGATCCGACTGGTCGAGCCAAACAGAAATCCCTCCACCAAGTCTTGGCGGATCTAGACAAGCAAAAAGTGGCAAAATCGACCCCATTGGTCTCAACTATCCCCATGTTCCTGAGAATCTCGTGACAACTGTCTAGATAATCCTGGGGATCCTCAGTAGATGCACCGCTAAAAGTAGTAGTGAAGATCTTGGTGAACCTATCCAGCCTCCACAAAGCATCGACAGACATAGCTGCTCCATCACCGGTATGAGCTACCATACCCGGCTGAACTGCTCTAACTGGCTGAACCGCTGGAGTCTGAATTTGGGGAGCTACCTGCTCCGGAGTGTGAGTAGCAGGAGTCTGGGCTCCTCCTCCAGCCTGAGAGACGGCTGGTGCTACAGGAAGCGAGCCTGCTCGGGTGACACTCTCCATGAGGCCCACTAGACGGACCAAGAGCATCTTGAAAAACTGGGGTAGCAATAAACCCCTCTGGGACCTGAGCGAGGCCCACCAGAACTGCTAGGGTCGGAACCTTATCATCAAAGTCAACCTGAGGCTCCGCCACTGGTGCTGCTGCTCGGGGCTGAGCTCTGCCCCTACTTCGGCCTCTAGCACGGCCTCGGCCTCGGCCTCGCCCTCTACCCCTCATAGGAGCTGCTGCTGGGGGCTCGGGTTGCTGGTCAGCAGATGAGGAAGCGTGTGTTCTCGCCATCTGTAAAAGAACAGAGTAGAATTTCAATTAGCATTAAGAAACCAAACCGCACGATAGGAGAGAATAAATGTGAAGTTGTTCCTAACTCTGTAGCCTCTAGGGAATAAATACAGACGTCCCCGTACCGATACCTTAGACTTTATAAAGCTTGTCTGTGAACTGCAAGACCCATGTAACCCTAGAGCTCTGATACCAACTTGTCACGACCCGAATTTCCCACCCTCGGGGGTCGTGATAACGCCTACTAATGTGAGCTAGGTAAGCCAAACCTTTGATCTAATTACTTCATTAAAACAATTATTTCTTTATAACAAATATAAGGCGATAATGTGATAATAGCGGAAATTTAAATTTAAGCGGAAGACAACAATAAAATATATGAAAATTGTATCTATTACAACTACTTAAGCCTTAACCAAACAAAATCTGGTGTCACAGTGTCACAAACTGTCTAAGATTGCTACATACAAAGTCTAAAGAAATAACAGTACACTGTTTCTGAATAGAAGGAAGATGAAACAGGAAATAGGGATAGAGGGAGATGCCAGGGCCTACGGACGCCTGCAGGTCTACCTTGGATCTCCGGGTGGACTGAAGGTAGCTTCCACACTACGGTCCAAAAGCTGCTCCGGGATCTACACATAGTGCAAAGTGTAGTATCAGCATAACAAACCCCATGTGCTGGTAAGTGTCTAGCCTAACCTCGACGAAGTAGTGACGAGACTAGGACAAGACCACTAAATAAACCTGTGCAGTTATATAATATACAACAGAAAGTAAAGCAGGAATAAATAAGTAAAGATGGGAGGGGGAAATATTCTTCGGGGAAAACAGGTAAAACAGAATATCAAGAGAACTATAAAGGAATTAAAATCTAACCACTAACAAGAATAAGGAAAACAAAGGCAGATTTCACTTTCTTTTCACATCTTGTTGCAGGCATGCAACCCGATCCCATTTCCTATATCTCGTGGCATGCGTGCCACCCGCTCCCATTTCATGTATCTCATGGTAGACGTGCCACCCGTTCCCATTTCATTTATCTCGTGGCAGGCGTGCCACCCCCTCCCATTTCATTTATCTCATGGTAGGCGTACCACCTACTCCCATTTTATTTATCTCGTGGTAGGCGTACCACCCGCTCCCATTTTAATATATATTGTGGTAGGCGTACCACCCGCTCCCATTTCATTATATCATGTGGTAGGCATACCAACCGCTCCCATTTCATTATATCTTGTGGTAGGCGTACCACCCGCTCCCAGTTACAAGCCACCTATAATCACAAGGAATCCCGGCAAGGGAACAAGAGCAATATAACGACTTCCCGGCAAGTGAACAATGATATTTCAACAACATCCCGGCAAGGGAACAATAATATCAAAACAAACATCCCGTCAAGGGAACAATACTATCAAAACAAACATCCTGATAAGAGATCATTAATATCAAACAAACATCCCGACAATGGAACAATGGTGATAATAACATATGAAGCGCAATAAACCATAACAGAGTCATAACAATTACAATACAAGACTCACCGGCATCTTTGGCACCAACGTATATATACTTGTCACCATGCCTATACGTCGTACTCCACAATTAACATGTAGCAAATAAGATACAACTCCTAATCCCTCAAGTTAAGGTTAGACCAAACACTTACCTCGATGCCACGAACACAATTCACGATTCAACTATAGCTGTACCTCTTGATTCCACCACCAATACGCTCGTATCTAGTCACAAGTTACTTAATTACATCAATAAACGATAAATGAATCAACCCCAACACATGAAAATGAGTTTGTCTAAAGTTTTGCCCAAAAAGTCAAAAATCTCCCCCGGAACCACATGGTCAAAACCTTAGGTTCGAACCAAAACCCGATTAACCATTCCACCACGAACCCAAATATATAATTTGTTTTGCAATCGAACCTCAAATCGAGGTCCAAATCCCCAATTTTTAAAAAACCTAGGTTCTACCCAAAACACCTAATTCCCCCCATGAAAATCATTGATTTGCGTTGAAATCATGTTAAAAGATGTTAATGATTGAAGGAAAGGAGTTAAAATTAACTTACAATCGATTTGGAAGAAGAGTTGTTCTTGGAAAATCGCCCAAAGGAGTTTGTGTTTTGAAAAGATATGAAAATAAGTTTAAAATCGTCTAAGTATAAAAGTTGCAGGCCTCAGATGTGGGAATTGCGAACAGGGGTTCGCAATTGCGAACCCCAACCTCTGCTAGCTTGGGAATTGCGAAACAGGGCTCACAGTTGCGAACCCTTCAGGGAAAACTGGACTTTCGCATTTGCGATCAACATGTCGCATTTGCGACTTGGGAATTGCGACCACAGCATCTCATTTGCGATTACCGGCCAAATGGGTAACTTCGCAATTGCGAAGATAATATCGCATTTGCGAGAGGGAGCTGGCCTGGGCTTTCTTCGCAATTGCAACAAGCCGCTCGCATTTGCGAGCCAGGCTTCGCAAATGCGAAGCCTACAGGCCTGCTATGCACAACTGAAAACCTGCAATTTTCTAAGTTAAAAATGCACCTCGTGGCCTATCCAAAACTCACCCGAGCCCTCGGGGCTCCAAGCCAAATATACACACAACCTCAAAAATATCTCACGGACTTATTCGTGTATTCATATCACCAAAATAACATCAGAAACCTCGAATTAAACGTCAATATCAATGAAATTTCTCAAAACTTCTTTAAACATCAAATTTTGCATTTAAGGTTCGAATCACGTCAAACGGATTCCGTTTCTTACAAAACTTTACAGAATTATCTTAAATCATATATAAGACCTGTACCGGGCACCGGAACCAAAATACGGGCCCGATACCAACACGTTCTAATCAAAATTCATTTCCAAATCCTCTAAACAATTTCAGAAAACGATTTTCTTTAAAAATTCATTTCTTAGGCCTAGGACCTCGGAGTTCGATTCCAGACATACGCCCAAGTCCCATATTTTCCTACGGACCCTCCAGGACTGTCAAATCACGGGTCCGGGTCCGTTTACCCAAAACGTTGACCGAAGTCAATTTAATTCATTTTATAGTCAAAATTTATCATTTTTAACAGATTTTCACATATAGGCTTTCCGGCTATGCGCCAGGACTGCGCACACAAATCAAGGTAATGCTAAAAGAGGTTTTAAGGCCTCGGGACGTAAAATTTTATTTTTAAATTAGTGATGACCTTTCGGGTCATCACAATAGTAAATTTATACATTTTTAAAAATATTTTATACATATAAATATTTATCGTAATGTAATATATAAATATTTCTTGTACTTTTTCATAATTTATTTTTTAAGGTTTTATTTCAAGTTTTGACTTAACATGAATGATAAATAAATTTTATAGCCCCTAAATGTAGTAACTTAAATAAAGTTCAAATCAATACTAATGCTAACAAAAGAATTTCAATTCAATACAGAATGATGATAGTGTTAGATATCTATTTTTTTAGTTTTACATTGGTTTATAATTAAAATGCATAATTTATTTTATCTTTTTCTTTAGTACTTCGTTATGTAATTAATAGTAATTATTAGCAATACTTATTTTAACATGACCTATATATTATTTTTAGTGTATGTTAATTTTAATTATTGCTTATTAATTAGCAATATTTTCTATGCAATTTTATTATCTTTATTAGTGAATATTTTAGTATAATGCTATGACTTATCTAATATTATTGTGTTATTTTCTTGGAAAATATATTATATAGTTATATTTTACTAGGAGTAAAAAATATTTGGAGCACAAGTTATATATTTTGTGCTATAAATATTTTACCGGAAAAAAATCCAAAAATCCAAAAAAACCAAATTAAAAAACCTGGTTTGGTTTGGTTTATAGATTTAAAACCCCGACACCATTAATTTGATTTGTTAATTGAAAAATCCGAATCAACCCGATTTATGTACACCCCTAATAGCACTCTATACAAACACATCTCTTTTGTTGACTGAATGGGATACCGCAAGTGCTTTCTTTACACTCCCACACTTGGAATACATGTTGATCAATGAAGTAATGAGGTGACAAATTTAATTTTTTCTCTTGCTTCTTTATATACACATGGATCCACCCACCTAAATCAATTGCACCCAACTGAGCACACGCAGAGAGAGTACAAACAAGCGTCACCTCATCAGGTTTTGCCTTCTTGATGAGCTGCAACTCGTTGAAAACAGCCAAAGCCACCTTTGGTTTACCACTCTGCTCATAAGCTGAGATTAGAGCATTCCAAGCAGCAATATCTTGGCTAGGCATGGTATTCAATACCTTTCTCGCTGCATCAAAATTTCCCATCTGCATATCCAACAAGCATGGTTGTCCAAGAAACAATATCTTTATCCCCCATCTTGTCAAATAATTTTTCTGCAACCTCAATGCTCCCACACTTCATATACATATCAAGAATCGCATTATTTAACATTAATCTCTCCCTAATTCCTTTCCTTTCCTCTCCATAAATGCGTGCATCCATCCACCTATGAAGGCAGAAAACTAGAATGAAAAGTCTGTATATTTGATGAGCCTCCAATGGAGTTTATATACAAAGGAAGTAACCAATTGTGCTAAGCTAACTCCTAGAAGGTAGGAAAATATAACCAATACAAAAAACAAATTAACTTAAAAAGCTAAAATCTAGTGGATACTAAACTATAGCCTAAAGTTACTGAACAAAGACCTACTCAAACCTAACAGCAAGTGCTAAGATGTAACAATAGTAGTACATGCGTTATTACGTCCCCTCAAGTTAGGCATGAAGATACAATGCCTAACTTGGGAAGCATGCGTTGGAAGGCCGGCTTGGACAATAGTTTGGTGAGTAGATCTGCAAGTTGATCAGCAAAGTGGATATGTGTTACGCGGACTAGGCCACTAAGGACATGGTTACGAACAAAGTGAAGATCAACCTCAAGGTGCTTCATTTTTGTATGATGTACTGGATTCTCGGCAATGTAAGTGACCCCAAGGTTATCACAAAGTATTGTTGGAGAAGCAGAGAGCGGCACATGAAGATCTTTGAGCAAGTGTGTGATCCAGTTTCTTTCAGACAACGCAGAAGCAACGACATGATACTCTGCCTCAATGGAGGAGAAAGAGGCAGTAGGTTGCTTACGAGAACACCAGGAGATAGGCATCGTGCCTAGATAAACAATGTAACCAGAGATAGAGCGGCGATCATTGATATTGTCATGCCCGAACTTGGGGAGGCGCGGCTGACACTCGGTGCTATAGTGGTCCAAGCGAACCACTCTGTAACTAATTCATTCCTTTTTATAACTATAATGGGCCAGCATGACCACAACTCGTAATGCAAAATTGTAAGTGGGCAAATGTTATATCAATGAACCATCGTTCATAAAACGTGAATACATATGAGTCGTCAAGGCCTCTAACACACTGTACATAGTAACCCTGTGTCTACAAAGCTTCTAAGATTATTTGACATAAAATGGGATAGGGTACTGGCCTATCCATAAGTTTGTAACAAAACTCTGACATGTGACTCATAGACCCGACTGCACTCCGAATGAGATGGAGTCTTACCGATCCTTCGCTGAATGTCAATCTCATCCACGATGAAGGCTCGTCAAACTGACTATCTATACCTGCAGGCATGAATGCAATATCCCCAACAAAAAGACGTCAGTACGAATAATGTACTGAGTATGTAAGGCATGTAAATAAGTATATAAAGGATATGGAAGAAAACGTGGAGTAAATGACTCAGCCTATAAATCTGGATGGCTCTGTAAATCAAAATCATGAAATATCTTTAATGTCATGCATATGCATATAAATGTTATGTAATGCATAGGTCTGTACGTACATAACATCATCAAGCCTCTTAGAACATCCCATCATATTATTTCAGCCACTGTGGGCAACATCATTATTGTATACTAGCTGATCAGGTGGTGATGCATATATAACGCCGTAATCTTTTTCCCATATCCCATATACATATATTTACATATATACGCGTATATAATTCCATCTGGTGCTACTATGGGCAAAATCATCAACGTATACTAGCTGATCAGGTGGTGGTGCGAATATAACGCCGTAACCTTTTCCCATATTCCATATAGATATATTTACATATATACGCGTATATAACGTCATTTGGTCATGGGTCAATGCACATGTATAAATAGGTGAAATGCATGAAAAATACGTAAAAATCTCAATATTCCTTCCGGATAAGCTTTTTCAACTACGTATTATTCTGAGACCCATGAACAGAAGATAATAATAATTCACATGGGGAAATCAAGAATATATAGACACCCCAAGTATTTCTTTGAATAGAGTAATTTATAGAAACTGTATGTTTGCTCGTTTCTTTAGTATAATTTGGACCATGACAAAAGAAAGAAGGGATGACCTTAACATACCTGAACCGGTTCTCTAGACAATCCCTTCTAACACACGACAATTGCAACAAAACTCATCAAAACCAAAACAAGAAAGACCCAAATAACCCGGAAGCAATCCTCTCAAATGCAAATTGTTCACCGCTTGACAAACATCCGAACCAACTATCACTAACCCAACTGCATTACTGACCTTATCGTCACCATTCTTCTCAAGAATTGCATTCCTTAACACACTCACCCTCCTTAGCATACTCCTACTAATGTCTCAGAAACCATGTACATGCAATGATTATACATATTATACCAAAACCCATACACCTTACACATTACATGATGTCACGACCCAAAATCCACTAAGGGCCGTGATGGCGCCAGACACCACTATCAGGCAAGTCAACCATAAATACTTAATTAAATTCTCGTTTAAATAATTGTGAAGACTATGATTTTCCTTCAATTTGGCTAGTAAAAGATAATTTTTACAAAATAAATAAAAGAATATTTAGAAGTTAATATAGAATACCCCATAATCATCCCAGAACCCGGTGTCATAAGTGCATGAGCAGTTTCTAGGAAATAATGTAATACAAAAACTGTCCGGAATACAAATTGGACAGAAAAGAAAATACAATACAATACTCTGAAGGAGACTCTGCTGGCTGCGGGTCGTCTCGAGAGGTGCAACTCACCTAAGTCTCCGTATCAACCATGCCGCTGCGCCCAACTAGGCCACTATACATCCATGTGCCTGTGCAACAAAAATGCACAACAAGTGTAGTATGAGTACAAAAACAACGTGTACCCAGTAAGTATCCCGTCTAACCTCGAAGAAGTAGAGACGAGAGGTCGACTTCGACACTTATTAGTGGTCCAATAATAATATATTAATAATGCGAATAATCATGAATTTATTAAAAACGGCAGTAAACTCAAGTAAGTGAAGAAACAAGTAAACATTCATTTTTATATTTAGAAATCTCTAAATTCATAATCCATCATTTATCAATTTATCTCAGACTAGGGAGGCAATATCAATTTGTAAATCTCAAACAAGCATTACAAGCATGCGCAAATCATGCCGAGGTCGTACGGCCCGATCCAACAAATATTTAAAATGTGCACTGCCAAAGGGTCGAATGGTGCGAACCATAGATGCATCTATTACCCCGCTCGCGAATCATACGTGCGACGCGGTCAAATATAAATAATAGATTTACCCCGCTCGCGAATCATACGTGCGACGCAGGTACTCATAGATACACACATTCAAACAGTCAATTTAGAATTCATCAAGAAACATTAATCCAAGGAAAAGTCAATTCTCTTTTAACGGTTTAAGAAAATGAGGTTTAACCCTTTCTAGAAATTCTTTTACTAATTCGATATGTTTTAGACAATTTCAGTTGTCAATAAGACTACAAATATTTTAGGTAGCTACGCACGGACTCTCATCACCTCGTGCTGCAGCCCCCACAAATAGGATCACATAGCCAATTATTTTACCTATGGGGATAATTTCCTCTTACAAGGTTAGAAAGGAGACTTACCTCGCTCTGAAGTCCAATAACCGGCTTCCAAGCCCCTTCCGACGACTCAAACCGATGCTCCTACGCTCCAAAACTAGCCAAATAACTGTGAAAATACACCCTAATACTCGTAACAATTTAATTTATATAAAATCCCAACTCCGCTCGAAAAGTTGACAAAATCGCCCTCAGGCCCATATGCCCAGATTCTGAAATTTTTCGAAGATAAAGTTTACCCACAACCTCACGAACTCAAATATATAATTGGCTTTCAATTTCATGTCCAAAATCGTGGTCAAAATTCAAGAATACAAATTTCCTAGGTTTCCTTCAAAATCCCAAAATTTCTACTAATTTACATGATTTTCCATATTAAAATCTAGATATAATCCAAGTAATTAACTTGCAATAGATGGGAATCACTTGCCTTGACATGGATGATGAAATGGAGCTCTAAAATCGCTCCTAGGACGGCTCCCATGGAGGAATTGAGATAAAATGAGCCAAACCCATTTCTTTACTAAACACTGCCCATACGACTCTTCTTCGCGTTCGCGAGACCCCCATCGCGTTCGCGAAGAAGAAAATTCCCAAAAATCATTTTTCAAACTCTTCTCAGACAACCTCTAGTATAATGGCCATAACTTTTTGTACAAACTCCAAATAACAAATGGTTTAATGTTTTGATAATGAGACACAAAGATCTATAACTTTTGTGTTTTGGTCATCTCCCAATTCCTTATAGATTTTGAAATATAAGCGGCCAAATTCAGCCTTGTGCAACACAAATTTCTTCTTCATCTTCCCGGATAGCCTGTAGTGTACCAGCCATAACTTTTGGTACACAAATTCAAATGCTAAATGGTTGAATTTTCTGTAATATAGACACAAAGAGCTACAACGTTCCTTTTTGGACCATCTCCAAATTCCAAATAGATTGCGAGATATGAGCTTCCGAAGTCAGACCTATGCAACAAAGATTTCCTTCTTCGCGAACACGAAGAACAGAGTCCCTGAAGCCAAATCCTTCTTCGCGAACGCGAGAGTATCCTCGCGAACATGAAGAACAACACCAGACACCAGCATCAGCTATTGCAAAACAACCCGAAATGATCTAAAACCACCCCGAAACACACCTGAGGCCCCCGGGGCCTCGTCCAATCACACAAACCAGTCCCATAACATAACACGAACCTCCTCGAGGCCTCAGATCATATCAAACAACATCGAAATCATGAATCACACCCCAATTTAAGCTTAATGAACTTTAGAACTTCAAACTTCTACATTCGATGTCGAAAGCTATCAAATCACGTCCGATTGATCTCAAATTTTGCACACAAGTCACATTCGACATTATGGACCTACTCCAACTTCCAGAATTGGATTCCAACCCCGATGTCAAAAAGTTCACTTCCGGTCAAACTCCTCAAAACCTTCAAATTTCTATCTTTAGCCAAATGATTCCAAAATGACCCACGGACCTCCAAATTCACTTCCGATCATGCTCCCAACACCAGAATCACCATACAGAGCTATTCCCAGACTCGGAATCCCAAACAGACATTGATAACACTGAAATACACTTCAACCCAAACTTATGAAATTCTTCCAAAAATGCTAACTTCCACAATAGGTGCTGAAACGTTCCCAGGTCTTCCAAAACCTGATCCGTACATATGCCCAAGTTCGAAATCATCATACAAACCTGCTGGAACCTTCAAATCCCGATTCCGAGGTCGTTTACTCAAAAATCAATCTTAGTCAATTCTTTCAACTTAAAGCTTCCGAATTTAGAATTTTCTTTCCAAATCAACTTCGAACTTCCCGAAATTCAATTCTGACCATGCGTACAAGTCATAATACTTGAAGTGAAGCTGCTCATGGCCTCAAACTGCTGAACGACGTGCTAGAGCTCAAAACGACCGGTCGGGTCGTTACATTCTCTCCCATTTAAACATACGTTCGTCCTCGAACGTGCTAAGAACTGTGCTGGAGTTGTCCGAAATCATTGTTTAACACCTCGTGCACCTACTCGTGCTACTACAACCCAATTGAGCACATTAGCTCGATCAATTCTAAAGATATTCCCTTTTATTCAAGAAAATAAGCTTAGAGCCCAATTCCAACATCCAAAATCTCTGCCAGGCCTACTTCCAATATATGAACACTGTATCAATCACTACACGAGGTACCAGAGCATGACTGCATGCCTTTGCTGAATTCTCACTA